AAGAGATGTACTGGTTCTCTAGCACGTACCTTACAGGTAGCTACTCGCACAGAGCAGCAGCAAAGCCACGGCCCAGTCAGCCTGGGCAGCTTTAAGCTGCTTCATGTGGTCTGAACGGTGCAGAGCAGCCAGAGGATCCCCGTGACCGGGTCTGTTTTAAGCAGGGCTTTACAGTAAATAGCCTGAAATCCAGACTAACACCCACTGGTGTGCTCGAGTCTCAAGGCATCCTTCCACAATGTCGTCTATGCTCTGGGTTCGTGAACACCCTCCTGACACTGCTGAGGAGTGAGGCGGCATCCAGGCCGAGGCAGTGCCCCAATTCAGACGTCTTGGCCTCATGTACTCTGCAAGAGCTCTCAAGAGCTTTTTACATCCCTTTTGAGCTGGTATTCTTGGCACTGGCTCTTAGAGCTATTTCTGAAAGGATGCTACAAAAGCTGGTGTTTCTAGTTTTGTCATCCCGGGAAGCCTCTGGGGAGAGGCGCACCCTTGTGCAGGGGCTCAGCACGCTGCTCACACCACTTCGGTCATGCTGGAGCCTGGGGCTGCTTGTCAGCAAGCAACCCAAAAGTCCTGCCTATGAAGCCCATCTCCTTTTCTCTTTAAGTTGGGTTTGGGACAGATGGGATTTAGCCTGAAGTCTTCCAGCTGAGGCCTTTTAGGGACAGGGGAAACACTATTGATCCTGTTACCTCTCATCTCGTGTCAGCACTATCGTGCTATTTTCTAACATCGAGTCATTTCAAGTCTCCATAATGACACAAACACATCAATTAAAAATTAAAACCTATAACAACTCTCCCACAAACAGTACTGACTGTACCATACTTATTGTACCCTGGGAGGGGAATGAGAAAATAGCAGAAGACAGAATAATTTATAGCGATAAAATGGGTTACATTTTCATAAAAATTTTATTTTACTTTTTTTTTTTTTTAAATAATTCAATGCACTGGCAGTATAATTAATCCCTCTATGAGAGACACAAATGTACCAGTTCAACCAATATTATTTGTACAGAGACATTGTGTTTAAAAACAACAAAAGTACATTTAAAATGTTTGTACATAAAGTATTACTGTTATTTCCTTTTTTTTTTTTCTGAAGAAGGAACAAATGTAAACAAAATGCATAATTGTGCAACACGTTGGAAATACAAAGCAAAACAGGCAAGATACAATTTAATACATATAAAGCAAAAGAAATCAAACTTTTGTAACTATACAACATTTCAGTAATTGCTTGACATTTTAACAGTTACCTTGGTCTGTACAAAACATCTTAACTTATGCTTAAAACTTTACAAGAATAACATGCTTGTTCAGAACAAAGACACCTTGTGGAATCGCGATGATTATTGATATGGTATTTGCACACATGAGAAAAAAAAGAAGGCTACTTCAATAGTAAATAAAAAGTAAGAATGTAAGGTAAAGGGCCATCTAGTAAACTGTAATCTAATTCCAATAGCTAATTAAGTTGCACTGCAATGCAGAAATTAAATCTGACTTTTGCTGGAAGACCATAAGGTCATCATGTTGCTCTGTTTCCAGGAACCAGATGAAAGCATATATAAATTTTCCTGATATTTTGGTTAGTTATACATGCGCACATACACACACAAAAGAAAAAATAAAATAAAGGAAAAAAATAGCATTTGCCACGATAGCTGATAATGGTAGGCAAGTAGACGCGCTTACTACACTGCTCCCAAGATGGCTTGGTTAAAAAAAAAACAAAAACAACTAGAAAGAGCAAACATCCACTGAGTTAGCCAGGGTTACTTTTCCTGAATCTTACTCGTAGTTTGCCTTTTTTAAATTTTTTTTTCTTTTTTCTTTTTTTTCTTTTTTTTTTCTTTTTTTTTTTTTTTTTTTTTTTTTTCAGAAGACAGGAAACAAATAGAATTGGGCCATTTAAAAATACTGGGAGTGCTACAGCCAAAGATCAAACACAAACCAAAGGAGAGCTCAAAGCCAAAGCAAAAAAAATAACCGGCTCTTTTGACTTGTTTTCACACTTTGTGATTTGCCCTAGGCCTCTGAATGTGGGTTTTAAAGAAACAGCATTTTAGATTCAGTAGAAGATATGCAATCCAGAGATGTCAAATATACAGACAGGAATAAATAATGCTATAGTTTATGGAATTACACGGACTGTCAGCTTGGATAAAATCTACATAATTTTAAGTGTCCTCAGCTGATATGTATGGCTAAAATTAAACTCCTGATTGCATCCACCTGATGTATTCAGAGCCCGATTCTGCAATCTGGGGGCTGAGCACTAATTTACACAGTTACTCCTGTGGATTTCAGTGGAGCAACTGGTTGATTAAGATGCTCAAGGGAAGAATGGTAGAATTGGACGTGGATAAATATTTGCCAAGACTTTTAAATGTACAAAACCCATTTGGCTTAGAAAAGACACTTTAACCTGCTGCAATGTCTTTGAACTAAAGTAACAGATTTCATCTCTAGACTGAGAGCATTTATGACACATTTGAATTTATTTGCTATTTTTCTACGCAAGCTAATGCTGATGCCAGTAAATATTTAAACTCAGAGGTAATGAAATTGCAACATGCCTTTTAGTTAAAAACAAAACATAGGCAAACTTAGATGGCAGGCAGAAATTACCCTCCAATTCTTTTAGCAAGGATTATCTGGTGCTCAATCAGAACAGTTCAATATACACTCGGCTTCAGTATGTATTTATAAAGCTGCATTAGAGAATATAGCACAGTATGAAAAGGAAGAGGACTAGTTTTTCAGCTGGTGTAAATCAGCACTGACATCTATGGAGCTACTTAGAGGCACATCAGCTGAAGCTTTGGCCCACAGTCATCAGAAACATCCAACTATCATTCACTCCATATGTAAAAACCTCAGCAGTGGAAGTGCAGAGTGAAAGTGTAATCGACATCAGATAAAAAGCTACCCGTTAGTCTCGTTTCTGACAATGCTTTTCCAGACTGTGTGGTCTAAAGCAGTTTTATGATGTGCTCCATACTGCATAGCTTTGCAAAGTACAATATTTCCTTGCAGGCAAGGATTATGGTACATTAATCATTTCATTGGCATGATCAGTAAAAAAAAGGCATGATGATAAAAGCTTTGGGAGTTTATCTGCATAGAGACATATTGGCAGAAATTAGTCTGGGGTTAAAGGGTTTGCTCCTCAGCGTGTGGATTCCTCATATTGGATTAACTCCACCGAAGCCAGTACTCCTACACCAGTTTACACCAGTTGAGGAACTTGTACTCTGCCTCTGCCTTAACTAAAGTATGTCTGTTGTTCTCCACTACACAGTTTGTTCATAAATTCAAGGGTAAATGCCTCCTGCCAGCGGGTCAAAGCTTTTTCGGGTTCGTAACTCCACATTACTTGTCACTGAAGTCAGTGGTGGTTTCCCTGAGCAAGGGCTGAGCCAACATATGGTCTGGGCGAAGAGCAACTCCGCTGGCGGTTATTCCAGCACTAGTCAGGAGAACTTTAATTTCAGTGGGGTGAGAGCTCAGCCAGAACAAAACTGGGTGTAATTCCATTGAACTAATTGGGTTAATGCAATTGATGTTCTGGCCCAATAAGCTTAACTCTGATAATGCTTTGCCACTTTTATTAGCCAGCTTCTCCTTCGATTAACAGGGCTCGGCAAGCTCAATAAGACTTGTATAATTGCTATATAACAGCAGAATTTGGTCCAATGAATTCCACAAACTGAGCCAAGTTCTTTTACATTTCCTTAGCTCCAAGTTTGGTCCCTTTTAGTTACTGTTATCCTTTAAAACAATGACTTTCCCTTTGCAATCTGTCTTTCCTTCTAACCCAGAGAAGGAAATAACTGAGTAGAAATTAGGGCTATCTCTACTTGATGGATTTCAATGGAATTACAGTGGGGTGATACTCACACAACTGTGAGTAAACTCATATCCAGCACAGAGCTTGCATAGAGGGGAACTCGGTGAAAATCAAAGAAGAAAACAAGTCTCAAACAGCTGCATCATCTGCTCACATGGCTTAGACCACTGGCATCAGCAGGACTCAGACAGAGTCCTGTAAGCACAAGTGGTCCTGCGGACACGACGACTGCAATTGCAATTCAGCACACGGTGCCTTCGTTTTTCTGCTGCTGCTGCATGCATCGCTTCTGTTGACTTGCTTGACGTTTCTGCACACAGAGCAGGTGAAAGTGAGCGTTCAAATCCAAGTCCTGTCTGCAGCCACAGAAGACCAAACCTAAAAGCAAGGCAGAGCCACAGCTCTGTGGTACCCAGGCGGTGGAGCTGGGCTCTCTTGGTCCTCCTGGGCACAGCGGTGGTCCCCTGCTGTGCCTCCTGCTCACCAGTGCTGCGGGCAGGGCTGGTGGGGATCCCTCTGCGCAGACCTGTTGTCCAACACCCTGAGCAGCCGCACTGCCCCACAGCCTGCAGTAGGCAAGGGCTCTTCTGCAGCCTCTCTCCAAACACTGAGCGTGCACATCACTGCTTGAGCTGACTGCGGGGTCCTGGCCTTCGTCCTTGGTGAAGTTGTATGGGAAAAACGGTTTAACTCTCTGGTGACTTCAGGGCAGTGACAAGCATTAGCTCTCTGTGACATGTGGTGGCACCCTGAGGCAGAGTAAGGAATTGGATGGGGCAGTGCCATATTCAGACTCTGTATGATACCGTGGCATAAGTGTTATTTTGCAGGACACATCAACAGTAGTGAATCCCCTTTTCACCTGAGCACACACAGGTTAAACTCTTAGTGCCAGCCCACACAAACCTGCCCCAGTTTCTTTAAACCACTCTTCACACCTTCACTTATTACCTAACATGATTACAGTGTCAAGGAGCTGCCTGAGATGTTGATACCTACCCTGTGACTCTGAGCACAGCTTATCTTTATAGTGTTTCCGTTGAAGCACCTACTGACACGGCCAAGTTTGATTCTCATCTGACACCAGCTTTATGCAGTAACTCATCTGCATCTGAATTTGCTCTCACTTCTATCTGCAGAGCCATGGGATCCCGCCGGCTGTACGCGAGACCTGAACTCAGTCTCTTCTGACTTCAACAGCCACCACCATGGGTTCAAGCTGGTGTAAGATGATCAGAATCACTGATCGTGAAAGACAACGGAAATAGATGAAATATCTCGGAAACAGAACAGCTAAAGTAAAGCTACCAAGAGGCAGGCGGGAACACAACACTGTAGAGAGGGCGGCTACTCTGTAAGTCAGGCAGAAACACTTCGTGTTCAGGAGCAAGGAAGTTTCAATAGTAAAAAGGAGCATAACTGAGCTTTTAGCCTATACATATAGGCTACAAAATATCAAGTGATATCTCTAAAATATGTCACTGCATCTAGTGAAATATATATATAAGTACATATACATATTTCTCTCTCTATATATGTCTATATCATTAGACAATACAGAATGCCTGTATGCATTGCAGTGCCCCATGGTCTGGCTATGTCACGGAAGTACAGAAGTATTAGAAATAGACAAATTGAGCCCTCCCAACATTAACAAGACTGGTTTGTGTTGCACCAATAAAACAGTACGTAAAGCTGGAAGATGCCATAAGGACAGGGGACTGGTTTCTCACCTGCTTCCCCTCTGCCTCACACCCACTGCTCTCTGCTGGGGTCAGGGAGGTGCTGCGGGAGGCAGAGGCCCTTTGCACGGACACCTTGGTCCCTGGGCCTGCCCACATGTACAGCATTTCCACACTTGGCTCAAAATAACAAATTAATTTTCTTTGGTGACCTGTGAAATATTTTTCCTTTCTTAAAAGTTCAAGTCGCTGGTCTATTGCAGATGAGTTAACCTTGTGAAAAACGATACGCTGACAGCACAGTCAGAAGTGACACTGACTTCAGGGAACTGTTGCTACTTTCTGTCATGCCTTCATTGCTTGCAAGGAGACAAAAGATGCAAATAGGACTACACACAAACCACAGAGGAACACATTAATAATCCTACCACCACTCAACACTGGTAAGAGCATTTCCTCTTTAAGGCTACTGCATCATTTCTCCTGTGCTATGAAGTAATGATCACATACTTTTGTTGCAAATCCACATCCAAATCCACACATATGTGGGCAAACACATGTGAGTGTGCCTCAATACTGTGTGTAGTGGAGTTTCTCCTGAACTGAAAGCAAAGAAGCCTAGTAATACCTAAATCAGAATCATTTACTGGCCCCATTTCTTTCAGTATTTTAAACTGCACTCCCAAAATTAGTCATTGGATTTAGACAGCATTAAATACTGATAAAAATGCAATGAAAATATTTCTTCCAAAGTACCTAAAAACTTGTCAGAGGGTCTAAACTATTATAATGGAAGAACATCATAAAATCTGTGGAATTCAAAATGCATAGAAAATAAGGTCCAGATTCAATTTTCTCAGATTTTGTTTCTTTAGGAGGAACAAGATCTTGACCTTTATTCTTCAAAAAAATGCACACCACTGAAATCAACAGACCTGCCCTATCTTTCAAAGGAGGTCATCGTGACACAGTATATTAATGGAAGCTATTTAAATAATTAAAGGTCTGAAGACCATATAAGAAAAATTGAAGTGAAGCTATAAGAAGCAAGCTGGGAAGGTTACCACCAACAATATCATCAAAAAAGCTGTAAGCTAAACCAGAATGGCAATAAAATAAAATAAAATAGCACAAATATTAGGCCAAACCTAGCTATCCAAACTCAGCGTGAGCTGTTTACATTGTTAGTTTGCTAGAATGGGAAGTGTGCTTTGCCCTTCCAAAGGAGCCAGTGGAGCACAGCTGCAACCAGTGAACAACAGGAACACAGCCCATATGGGATGCAACGTCTCAGGCTTTCCCTTTGAGCCCTGCTCTCATGGACAAAGGTTTCTCAACATGCATCTCATGGCTACACATAGTCACTGCAGTCAACGCAGGACATTCTGCCTGCACGTTGTCAAATACTTCACTTAAGACCTGCTACAGCTCTTGACATGGAGGTTAAGTGCTATGTAAATGCCTCACTCCAGCACTTAGGACTTTGCTGCCCTCACATCTTGTACTGATAGAGCTCCCAAATGCTTGTGTGTAGCCCTCTGCTTGCATGCTCCCTTCACTGCTGAGCTATGGATATTGCTCCAAACCTCCTGAAGCATGGGACACAAATGACAGCCTTGTCAGCTCTGGCAATGTTTTATGAAGCTTGGTGTCCTTCTTAAAGCCCAGCTGCAGACCGAGAGATTACATCAGAGTCTCAGCCTCTCACTATTAAAACCAAATATGTCATTTCTGGCCCTCAGCATGCTTGAAAAATGCCTGAAAACATGTCTTGAAATCAGCTTCAAAGCTCATTATCTGTAAGGCAATGAAGGAACCAAAAAAAAATTATTAAAAAAAAAAAAAGAAGCCATGATTTGGAGCCAATCTTGTAATTTTTGGTGCTTGGTTCATGACTTTGAATGCCTGAAGTGGGCAGTGTTAAGAGCAGACAGCAAATGCCCAAGCAAACACATGCTGCTTCCCCGTGGATCGAAACAAACAAACAATCTCGTTTGATTAACTCTGCTGGAAATAATATTTTAAAGGGTAAAATGATTCCACAAAGATGACATGTTAGCATTTGAAATGAGATGAATGCAGTGCCTGTAAAAGTGCAATAATCCTTAATAACTAACCCAAAAGAAGCATCATCCCCAGGGATAAGAAGGTAATTCACTCTCCATATTTAATTTGTTTCTAAGCTGCTTTTGAAACAAGATTGCTAAACAGTAAGTTGGCTTGGGATCTAGGCCTGACTGCTGGACTTACTGTAATCACGCCATTGACTCAGCATACATTTCAAACTAAGTCACAGGATGCAAAATCAGGTGGGATAATTCCTTAAGCTGTTTAAGCAAAAGATTGTGAATACGAGGTAAATTTGGAGATAAGAGTCTGTTTACGGCAAGCAACAGGCGTAAAGATAAGATGCTGTCTTCACTGAGTGACTGCAACTCATTCTTTGAACAGTCTTGTGACTACAGATCGCGTTTCAAGCCATATCTATTTTTCATAAATTCATGGCAATCTAGGGTTTCAGTCTACATTAACGGAAACAGTGATGACAGCACACTTAATTAGACTGAATAGTTACCGAATCTCATCAGGAAGATCTTGCAAAGGGAATGGAAAACTCTGGCTTGTGACAAAACCACCCCAGCACTACTTCGTCTCAAGTACTCGCTCTGGTCAAAAATAATTCTGGAAGTGTTTTGTTTTGGTTTTCAAACATTTTGTTTTTTAAAAAACAAAACAAAACACCCTTCTACATTTCTTAATTGTTCTTGTGGTCTTATTTATTAGCTACCGGGACCAGAATGAGCATGACAAACGCTGCCGGATTCACGTTTCAGCCATGTCACCACAACCCTCCAAGAAGAGATAAGGGGGTATCAACCACTTCAGCAACAGGAATGTGCAGATAGTACAGGATGTGCATGTTCTGCAAATGGCTTTTGCAGACAACCCTAAACTGTATGATTCCTCTTATGACACACCTTGACTACAGTTACAATACAATCTTCTGGAACAAAATATCAGCAATTATTGATTTTTAAGAAAAGGTAACTTACAGGGAAATAATATACAACAGCTACAGTAATGTTGGTCTTAAATATGCACTGGGCAGAGTCCTTAAACTGCTCTTATTGCAAATATCCAAGGCCTGCTCTAAAAATCATAACAGTCTGAACCTTTTAAATGCAAATTTGTCCTATTTATCTGGTCACAACCCAGTGAGTAGAATCCAATAACTCACCAGATTAAAGGATATACAGGATTATATAGCAGAAGGTAATTGCAATTAACTAATATCTGGATGGCATTTAATACACACATTGTATTATTTCAATGAGATGAGACAGAATAATATTTACATTGCTATGAGCATTTTCTGTTTATAGAAGTGGAATTTACAGTTCAGTAAGGTATGCAGGCATTACATCAAGAATGAGATGAGACCATTTAAAGTCTTGTGAATTATTGATATAAATTCATTTTGTTTTGTTTCATGCACCAGCGCTTCTTGCAGTGGCACCAGAAGAGCAGTGCAGTTTATAACAAGGAAAAAAAAAAGAAGAGGAAAGAGCAAATGTGAAATGGTGTAATTTATTCACAATTGCTTTGAAATTCTATCTGAATTGTCTCATTATTATTCACACATTAGAGGAATGGTCCAAAACATGACAGCATGGGTAAATAGATGCAGAGCTTAGAAAATAGGTAATTTGACTGAAGTATTCCTGGCCATTATTAAACAAATGTTATATTGCTTTTGGATAAATCTGTTGATTTTATTTAATTTGTCATTGTTTTCATGATAGCAAGGTAATACTATTTGTTTCTAATGCTCCGAAATGAACAAAACAGGTGTAAATTGATGCCACACGGAATTATAACGTTTCAACAGTAGCTGGTTAGTTAAACTTCTAGAGAATTTCATGAAGAATCTGCATACACTTATTAATGGATTTTTACATACAATATCAATGCTTAGAGTGTAGCATTCCTGTTAAAATCTGCTTTCACTGAGTCACTATGCAAGAAGAGATTGTTCTATGAAGAAAAATCTTGGATGAGTATTTGTTTGAGATTAAACAGCAAAACTGAAAGAAAAATCACAGATTTAGTATAGGAATGGTAGATGAGACTATGAAAGCTAATATTTTGAAATTGCCTAAAAACTGCAATAAATTGTGCTGCCTACTGAAATTATTAAGCCAACAATAAACAGGTAGAATGGAATATCAAAACCTCATTGCATAGTGTGTCATCTTTCTTTAATGAGGCATTCCTTCAACCTTTTACCTCTTAACACCTTTGGTGATCTTACATTATGTAGCTGTAAGATATTCAATGTTCTCTTTTAGAGATTAAGCCTATAGGAAGTATGAAATCTTAGCAACATACTGTGTAAGGTAATGATGCCAGAATTAAGTGGCGAAAAGCTTGGTTCAGGTTCAGAAGATGATTGTGAGTGAATAGCTATAACTTCTACTAATTTATTTCAGAAGGGGCTTATCATATATACCCTCAAATATTTAAGACTGTTTGTACTATTTCTCAGGAATCCATATCTTCTCAAAGTGCTTTTTTGTTTTCACTTGAAGGCAGCATGGACTTAAAACAATACTGCAGGGAATGTACCGTTCCATAAAGCACATAAGGATGGCAGGATCCAGGAGACACAAGGCATAGAAAATTGTCGAAAATGATTAGATGGTACAACACATACTGCTCTTGAGTCATAAGTTCCATTTATGGTGACTTCTACTTCCAATAGATAGGATATTAAAAAAGGCAATAAAAATGAAGTTACATGAATAAACTTCCAGAAATGAGTGGAGTTCCACCAGTGATCGTCTGTGCGCTGGTAGAGGTAGAAGAATGGGGATGTTATGAGCAGGGCAGCAGTCACTACAACAAATGAGCCTCAATGCGGAGCCAGTGGAGTCCTTGGCGAACGTAACGAACCAGATTGGTCATACTGCTGTGTTGCGTTAAGGGTCCCATCACTGAGTCCAGGTCTACAAAGAATTCTGCAATACACAGGAAACAGAAGTTATTGCGTCGGGCAGCAGTACAGAAATACACGTATTGCCAAGATTTCACGAGCAGTAGCAAATAACAACCAACAATCCGAACCACCGGTGGCTGAGACCTCGCTTTCTCACCCTATTGAACACCCAGCGTGCGGCACGTGGCCAGCTGACACCGTGTAGGCTGCGGGTCTGCAGAGCAGGTGCCAGGTACAAAAATATTATCAATACTTTCTTCAACAAGCGAGCGCTGCTTTGAGGTCTTCAATCCAAGTATTGACAGCCTGACCCTGGTCAGAGTGGGAGCTACAGCAGTATCACAGCACAAAGTGATTTGGCTGGAGGCAAGCATATAATGAAAGCTTAGGGGCATCACCACTGCGTTCAGATGCTGCAGATAGCAGTTACTTTTCATCTTCCTTCCTCTGTCTTTCATTCCCCTCCTCCAGTGCGAAATCAATAAATTTAGGGGAGGAATAACATGCTGTCCTGCTTGCATTCTAGTGATCTCATTCTGGGCTCAAATAAATAATAAATACTTTAAACACTGAAAATTCACCTTAAAGCCTAATTTCAGTTTACCAATCTGAAAACACTTCTCAAAAAAGCTCTCGAGTGATGAAGAGCCGATAGTTTTCTCCTGTAGAGAAAAAGCGCTGTTATCTTTGGAAGCTTAAAAAATATATCTCATTCTGTAAAGTCAGCTGAGAGCTTGACATTATAAATGGTGAACAACACTCTAGGTGATCCACCATGAACCAGCAGATGGGTTGGCTTTGGGAAGTCTGCCGTTTAGCCTGCCTTACAGATACAGGTTTTGTGACAAACTCCATCTCTTCTCCCTCACATTCAGAGCCTTACTGACACAGGGAAATCCACCCAGAGGTACATGGCAGGATGTACGCGCCGTCCTTTTCAAACCAGATCAGTCTGGCGGGTCACAGTTCTGCTGCTCTCCCTCTTGGTATGCTTTTTTATTTTAATGGCACATCTTTTGTCAGGCTGACAAGAAAGGCTTCTGTCTCCTGCTCAGAGCCAGCTGGACAGGAGTCAAGTCCAAACTGGGAGCATGCAGGCACACTTAGAGGAGCACAAAACCTAAGCTGACAGCCATGCACAAGGGGAGGCTTCACAGCTCCTATAATGTGGAAGAGAGCTCCTGTATCTGCATAGGCATGACCTAAGAAACATCTATGACAGCAGTGAGACCCAGAGGTAAAGGCTTTTAGACGTTACAATGATGGGGCCACATTTTTCTCCCAACCTCTGTTAGCTCATCAGGGACACGTCCTTGGGCAAGACACCCCCTGTGATTCAGAAGACAACAGAAACAATGAGAGTTGACCACAAAAAAAGAATGTGACTAGATCTGTTTTTTTGATAGAAAATTTGGTTTTCACTTAAATACTTTCCTTTTTCTTCTTGTTCTTCCTTTTTATTTTATTTTATTTGGGGGGGGGGGAGAGGAGGGAATAGAAGATGGGACCACTTTTATTCCCAGGGATTTTTTTATTTTTATTTTTTTATGATGAACTGACTGCCCAAACCCCTAAAATAGAAATCAGGAGACCTTTAGAGGTAGCCATGAGATAAAGGCGAGTCCTGTCCCAGCCAGCAAGATACTGGTGTTTTGAATGATGTGAGAGATGCAGGCAAAAACTGCTAAATGTCATTACAGGTAGGTTTCATGAAACTCTAACATTTCTCATGTACTAATGTCTTAAATATAACCTTCTCTAAATGAAATCCATCATGTGATATAATGAAGGCTATCACAGCAATTCTTATACATGCATTTTTCTTACACCATGCATTTTTGAATTGCAG